TGAGGCTAGTCACTCCAATATTTCACAGGTGGTGAAGTTACCATCAAACTTATTAAGAAGCTCAATCTGACTAGGTTTAGCTTTCGACAGCATTTTGTGCAGTCTTCCACTGCAAGGCAAACACTCAACTGCCTAGCATAGCTTCCTCCGCGATGCTCTCTTAGCTTACCTAATCTCTTTATTATATTCGGTTAGGGCTGCAATATAAATAAAATCCTTAATTTTTTTTGGCCCTATTGAAGAGTTTCTGGCTTTGGCCTTCCCGATCTTCTCCTTAAGCTCCTTCCACTTAGTGTTCCTCCTAGGAACTTTTCATGTTGAGGTGTTAGTTTTGATTTTGCTCTGTCCGTTACTCTAGACCTTCAATCGTTTTGATGCTTTTAGGAAACGTTTCTAAATTCCTCCTTAGCCTTAGTCTCTGTGGACATCCCAGAAGGTCGCTTTGAGATCCATAAAAGCAACAGTTTCATAAGTTGGTGATTCACCAATTACAAATTTAATGTGTTTGTGATCAAACATCGAGTATTCACTACTAACATGCCAGTCAGTTATCGTTATAGAATATGTTATAAGTAACAAAGGTTATATCACTTTTGCCTAACTCGCGTTACAATGGTTGGTTTACGTCCTAAGTTTAGGCTTACCAGGCGATTAGATATGAGAAAATCATAAGTGACCCACCTCTTTTATTGATGTTAGTGCTTTCCCAGGTTGTGTGGTGGGCATCAGCATCACAACTCACCACAAGTTCGGCGTTGTGTTTTCGAGCAGGCCTAGGTGTTTTCCTTGTGCAATTTATATCTGTAAATATGTCCATAATGCTTCAGAAATTTCTTACCCTTTTTGAATAAAGTTACGTCGGTTTAACTTTATTCAATAATTTAATTTAATTTTTAATTTAACTTTATTCAATATTCAAAAACTAATATTAGTGCGGTTGTGCCCTCTTTTATTTTTGGTTAAATCACCGCTTCCCAACGGGAGTGAGAGTACTGGCTTAGAATAGTAAAAAAATGTAAAAAGGAAATAAATGGAATTTATCTACCAAAACCGGACCTCTATGGTTATGTTTAGAATTCATTACTTTGGTAACTTAATATTTACTCTTTGCTACATGTTGTGACCCGAATTAAGAAAGGAATGCTAAGAAAGGGTGGTTTGGACACGTATAAATAATGAATTAGAATAAAAGAGTGACAAATCAAATTTATGTTACAGAGTTAGATTAGCAGAGTCGACAAGGGAAGTTTATCAACCAAACTGGCGATATTTTGAAGATGGGCCATAGAGTATTCTAGCTAACGAGCACATATGCACATAGACTGTAAGGATTTGGAAAATCGAGATAGCCTGTTGTCTTTCTACCCCACTGGGTGACAGGCGTGGTGGTTTATGTTATGCCTTGGTTTATCTTAATAATTTTATGTAAGTTTTTTTGAAGCGTTATCTCAAAAATAGGATTTTCTCCTGTATTGTTGCTGCGGTTTACATAATTGCCCAAAGGCAAACATTCAGTCCAGGGAAAAGTTTTTATAGGCAATATAGCTAAATTCTTTTTTATTTGTAAGCAATATAAAGAGACGCTTTTTACCGGAAAAGAGGCTTTCTAATTCCTCACGCTTGACCAAGTATCTGCATTTTGATTATTAAATCGCGGATAAATGTAGATGTCTATGGGCCATAGCCCACAGCATTTACTTACCATCAGGTGGACTCTGTGCTAGTTTGTCACCCTTATTCTATTAAAAAATGGCAAAAAATATTGCTCCGATCGGAATACCAACCAGTGGTCCTGCAGTTCTGCAACCTAATGGTTAGCCGCTTCGCTACCAAGTACACTAGTATACCAAGTCCGCTACCAAGTAGTAACAACTGCATAATAAGTTTTACCTCGCGGATTCGCTCGCGTGGAATCAAAACTAGCAATATAACAAGTACAATATCAAATATTCTTGAGATATTTACTTTAAAAAAAAAACTAAAGTGTCAGATAAACTTACAGTCCATTTGTTTTGTGCAACGTGGTAGAGCCATGATTAAGTTATATTACGACTGTAGCATAAATGAGTCACCTGCGAGGAAGGATCACGCTCTCACAGAATACCAGCATAAAACCAGCTTAATGCTTCTGTATTTAGTATGGTTAGTGTAGATGTAGAGAACCGGAGACTCTTTTTACTGGAGACAGAGCGTTCCAGCTGAGTCCTCAGGGTTTTGATCGTAACCGAGGATAGTTGTAGATATCTTTAATTTACCTACATAATATTGTATTAAGAGTTAAAGAGTTTCTCAGAAACTTTGTAAAGGTCATTAGAGTTAATTTGTTTTTTGTAATTTGTGTTAGCGCCGCATTAATGCGATTCTAATAATTTTACGTAGCAGCAGGACTCTAACTTTTTCAAGATGTCTATCTGAGATCACGTTACGTACGTTACGGTACAGTTTGAGGGTAAAATGACTAGTATTCTTACAAACTATGTATTTGAAAAAGAAAAAAAATCTATAGTTCTGCAGTTCTCCTTGCTTGATACAAGGTAAAGTTGTTAGTTGGCTGAACATTAAAAAATATTGCAATATGTTTTCATAGTATAATGTTATTAAACTAAGTTATAAACTACAGTCGTGGTAAGATAAGAAAAAATCACTTATCTTAAAGTCCGCTGACATAAATAAAATGTACAACACTAAGGTAAATATAGTGAAGTATTTATATTAACAAATCAAAAAAATGTTGAAAAGGTTTTTAATTAATCGCGAGCGAAGCCACCGTAATTAAAAGCCGATCTGGTATACAATTTGTTAGCAACTATTTTTCGACCTATAATACAACCAATATTAGTATTGTTTGAACAATGTCTGTTTTTATCTTTGTTATATGTGAAAGAGGATTTCAAGGTTCATTTTATGTCTGCAGAAATGTTCTCAGTTTTATGTTCCGGTGTAACATTCAATATAGAGGGCCTGTGTAATCGGAGCCTTTAATATATCCCTTCTTAGACCCAGCTATATTCCATCTTAGTCTCAGTGTCCTTTGTTTGGAGTTGATTATCTGTGACGTCTTGATGAACTGTAGGTAAGCTTATCATTTAAATTTGTATGATAAATATAAGTTTAATAAGTATGATGTGTAGGTATTACACTTGATAGATGCACTTAAAAATGGCATAAGTATATTTTCCCTTTGTAACTATTACTGTGAAATAATATTATATCCACTATGGATGGACACGAGTCCAGTAGTGGACTGTTCACGGGCTCAGAAGGTGTTACTTAGCCCTTTTTAATGTAGATATCTATTATTAAAATTTCTAGATATGGGTAATACATTGTGCGTAATTATTTCACTTTTTGTTTAGTATGGTCGCGAACTTTAATTTGGAACCCATTTACGATTAAGGTTGAATACAGCCAATGTATATTATAAGAGAGCTACTGCTTTAGCAAGTAAGTTGGTAATTTTGGTATAACGCGTTGTGCACGTTACTAAAGGTAACTGTTCCTTTATCCATATTCTAAAATCGTTCTACAAAAATTTTAAAAATAATACTTTTGACACGCTATCAAAATTCGTTAATTACCGATTGAGAATATACCGGTGTAACTAACTTTTACTTCAGAGAGCTTCATAAATTAATTTGCTATTATATTATCTTAATTAATCTTTGTTAGAAATTGAAAGTCATTTGCGGTTTTGGTACATTTTTTTGTTTATGTGTGATTATTATGGCTGTAATATATTTTAAGTAAAGACAAGATTTTTCGTGGCAAACGTATGAAATTTTATTTTAAAGAGTAATATGTATGTTAATTACACGGTTGCAAAGTGAATTTGCCACTTAACGATTCCTTATATTTATGCGAATTCTATACACATTGAATACAAACATAATATTTTACACAACTATAAATTTTATTCCCTTTCTTCTTTTTCACTCATTTAGCTTATTTTAAACGTTTTGCCGTGGTCATGGAGGGAGGGATCTCAACTCATAACTCATGTGTTGTAGTTAGTATTGAGAATATATTCCATCATCCCGTGGCAAATATTACGAGGCAGTCAATGGGGGAGACCTATGTTCAGCTTTAGACTTTTTTCCTAGGCTGTGATGAATCTGAGTAATTTCGTAAAACTAACCTTTTTTAGTGAAGTAACAACTGAATTTATAGCCCAACTGATTGCCTGTAGAAACCTGCAACTAACTTCAAACAAAGAAAACTACTGATGCGTTGTCACTTTTGAGGCCTAAGATGAAATGTCTCAAAGCCTGTAATTTAAATGGCTATCTAGGGATATATCCCTCAGACTGCACATGGCATTGCACGCTACGTGCACTTTGTGGCGGCAAGAAAAGGTAAGAGCGTGGTAGCTATCCAGACGCACTACTCATAATCAGAGTAGGTGTTCTACCACATAGTTGGTCGCCTGATCCTATTCAATTTTAATAATTTAAAGTTTCATACTCTTTTATTTTAAAGTCACTGCATAACTTCTCATTTTGTATTGAAATGTATAAACAGTTGTTGCGTAAGTTCAAGCTTCATATTTTGTAATGGCTGTTAAGATCGACAGCGGCGAATCGACAACTGGTGAGTGGAAACCGAAATTTTCGCCTCCGGCACCATCGGGACCGGTAGTTTGTTAGTCGTGTACGATAAAAAGATTAAAAACTCTTCGTTTAAAAATTAACGATAATAATATAAGTAATGAATAAGATTCACAGATAAGTTTTTGTCCGTTAAAATTTTTTATTGGAATTTAAATAGCACTATGCGTCGTTTCGAAAAGGTCGTTCTTAAAGGTATCGAGAGGCGCTGAGACACCCTGGGCAACGTCCTCGGGTAGGAGGGCCAGCATGCGCAGAAGATAAATTCGTCGTTTTGGTGCGTGCGAGAGCGCGGCGCGGGTGGTGCGGGGTGCGGGAGGCGGCGGCGCCGGCGCGCGGAGGCTGCCGCGCTCAGAGCACCTGCGCCCGCGCTCCGAAGCGCCGCTCGCCGTGTGCTCAAGTCCCCGCGCCCGCGCCGCGTTGCGCCCAGTTGCGCCACAGCAGCGTCGTGACGCCGCCCACGGTACGTGAGGCGCCGGTGGCGCGTCGGGGTCGGGCGGCAGCGCGTTCGTCACTGCGCTGCGCCACAGCGCCGCTTGCTGGCGCGCCCAGTACAGCCGCCCGGCCGGTTTTGTAATTTCGCCTGGCGGGCCATGACGTCACGAGACTAGTTTGACGCGCGTGCGTGATGGCCTGTGCCAGGACGCCCGCTGCCGCCGCCCCCGACCTTAGTACCTGTGCAATGACGTGCTCGTTTGTCTTCTCTACTCGCAAGTGATAACGATAGTGTGACGCTCGCAAAGCGTCATCTGCGATGTCGTCCGGTAAAGATCCGATAGTGTCGTGCTTCTCTTTTGTTTGGCTTCGTAGTCCCTTCCGTTATCTCTGCAAACGAGAGTGTTGATAATGTGTTTGATTCGATTAATTTTATGAAACGAATTCGTATTCCAGAGAAAATAAGAATAGTTAGCGCGCAGCTCAAATGTTTTGTGTGTGAGTAAATTACATGCACTTATTCCCTGCCGAGTCGCGGTGTTCGGCGAGCTTCATTTGTCGATGTGTGCGAGTGTATACTTCGACATCCCAGCTTCGCGGCGAAGCCTTTTTAAACTTTTATTTTTCCTCTTGCCTGCGGCGAGGTTGTGGCACTCACGAGCATGAAGCGTTTGTTATTAATAATATGAACTCAACAGGGTATTTTAAATGGAATCGTATTGGAAATTCGTTTTAATTAAATTAGGAATAAATATTTTTTTAGTTATTGTTGTAAAGTAGAAAAGAACTCCTGTAGAGAATGTAGAAATATTGTTTTTGTTTATTAAATAAAGTTATAATGGGTAAGCTTTAATTTGTAAATCTTGTATGTTTCCAAAAAGTTCTCAAGAGTTTTGACAAATTTATTGAACTAAAAAGAGTTGAATCCAACATTTCGCAATACTATGTCTTTAGTACATGAAGTGGTCAACAGCAACTGTCTTTTTCATACTTACGTTGTGGAATAGAATAATTGAGGTTTCCGTCCTTGTTATTTGTCTAGTAAGAAGCAGCCTCTGTAGCAATTCTCTTCGGTGAATGTTTTTGTAATTTACAACGCGATTTTAGCTTTGTGTATTAGAAAAAATATACAACAAAACCATGCCAAATTCATTTGCATTTTTGTTTGTAATTGAATGAATGATAGAAGTGTTTTTGTTATTGTCTATCTTCATGTAACAGAATGTGAAATGCAAATATATCGTATATCATTTATTTTGGTTATTGCACAGTGACGGGTTCGACAAGCACGTGTTTGTAATAGTCGTTTCCAGTTTGTACCGTTCTGAGGTGCTTTGCTGTGTGCCGGCCAAAGCAGCTCCTGAACAAGTTCGGGCGCTTCTCGGCGATCAGGTGCTACTTGATACTTGTTCTTCTAACTGGACTCCAGTCAGCTGTTTCTTTATTGTACGCAGCTTAGTTGGGTCATGTGTAAAATATAACTTCTATATAGAGCTGCTGGGAAAGCAGTTTTATAGCAGCATTTTAAATATTTAAAACGAAAGTTGACTAAATATTCTTATTTTAGATGAAATTCCTTAAAAATCCAAACGAGCACGTTATCGTACCGGATTATTTAAACTTTTATAATCATCGTCAAGGTCGTGTAATTGAAAAAAGGAATATATTTCAGAAACGTATATCGGGATCGTCTCGTGTGGAGCGGGGCGGTCCCTGGCGGACCAGTACCATGGCATCGCCACAGCCTGTAGGCAGCCCGCGCGCCGCATCTCCTGCGTCAGCGCCACGCTCACCCGCACCTGCGCACACAGTTCTGGCTACTATGACGCCAGTACAACCAGCACATGATTACTGGGTAGTACATAAGGTCGAGATGGACTCTGACGATGGTTGCCCTCCCGAAGCACACTCATACCGCCACTCACCCCACGAGCTTGCCGCTTATGCCCCAGATAATAAAGTGCCCGTTCAGCCCGATGTTTACGACCAGGGAATGGATTCCATAGATGAAAAGACCCCCATTGATCTCATTTACGAAGATGATAAGCAGACTGTTATATATACAACAACGCCAGACCAGAAGCGAGTAGAGATGATAAGTGGACAGCTGGAGGATGGTCAGCTGGTGGGTGGTGGTGGACAACTCGTTGACGGCGGCGTGTCCGTAGTGGTGGGCCCTCCTGGACAAGGCACCGTCCTTGTTCTAGCAGATCACGTTGTCGATGAATTGGGACAAGTTATCACCATACCCAGGTAATCAACAACTTATATACAATGGACAACTTTTATGTTTTCGTTTATTTTTTGAGATATATTAACTGTTAGCGCCGCGAACTGATACCAAACCCAAAACAATGATTTCGAAATCAGCCTATCTAAAGTCTGGTTTGAACTTTAAAACCGTCTTTAAGTTTATCGCCTCCGCATAATTTATTACCATAACTTGACAAAAAATTATAGTATAAAGTATTCATAGATTTTATGACTGGAATTTCCATTTAGTTTTTTTTTAATTTACGTTGAACATTTGCGTAGCAACCATAACTTTAAATTACAACAAACGATCACAAATTTGTTATATGCTCTAAAATTTACGATGGTACGTTTAACTATTTAGTCCATAATAGTACATAATGCGCAAATGGTATGTGCTTAGCGTTGTAATGATGAAACGTCTAGTCAGTCACTTAATCACATGCGAGTATTAATTTGTTGGTGTGTTGGCACCTTCTCGGAATAGTTTGCATTGTTGGAAACAATCGATTGTTTGTGCAAGTGAGTGGTGTGTATAGTTTTGAGAATGAGGTGCTCGTGTCGGAGGTCTAGAGTAACGGTTGTGCCTTAGGAGCGGCTCGAGCGTGTGGGCGGAGCGACGTGCTCACCTTGAACTTGCCGCGAGAGCGTCCGCGCCTCGTCGACCGATCACACTCGATGCTGTGATGTTCTACCAATAAATATGCTCACACTTCATATAATTGTGATATTCATGGTTGAACGATCTTAATTTTTTTTAAATCTGGTTTTGTAAAATTTTCAAAACATTATCACTTTATAATTTTTCATGTTATCAAACGCATGGTCTTAATATGTATTAAAACAACAATAGTAATAATTTATAAGAATCATATTCGTGTAATAGAAAAAAGTGAGCGTTGTAGTTACAGGACCTGCAATGCTTGCTTCTTCGATTAAAATCGTTACTAATTCCTTGCCCCGTTTTAAACTAATATTAGCTCGTTAACAAAAAAGGGAAAATGTCTGAAAATATCATTGTTTTTTGTGTATAATTCTTATTTTTTTACTGCATTGTATCATTATACTATCCTATTAAATTTTAATTTCGTTCTCCATCTAATTTATCTTCTTTTACTTCCTTTGGTCAAACCATGTCATCTTTATTTTTATAAAATCTATCTTCACAATTTATTACAAGTAATGTGCTCAAAACCAAATGCTCAAAGCAAAGATATTTCAACATAATATGCTATTTTTAGGAAATTACGGCAAACGAGAACTATATTCAGCGCAGCTACGTGTTACTCACGACGTCGCTTACTTGTGTGTTTGCCTATGTTCAACTTTAACAAACGCTGCGAAAACACGTCACGTGTATGTCATTCATAATACATCTGATATCTGCGACGACTACGTAATGAAAAGTTTAAATTGGCTGGGTAACTTGGTTTATAGTTATTTAAAGAGCCAATGCTATGCCGATTAAGCAAAGCTAAATGTAACGTTATGTTTATGAAAAAATATTCAATTGTACGAATAATGTGGATAGTTGTACAAATATGCATAAATTTTTGTTACTTATTAATTATTATTTTATTACTGTCAATAGGCTTATTCATATATGATAATCGAGTTTGTTAATTTTAATACTAAATTAATAATAAGGCGGTTTTAGTGAAACGATTGTTTATTTTATTCAAACTTCTCTGTAAAATGTTGATAAAAAATCATATCAAGACGTGAAAATAATGAAAGGCAAGTAAAAATAAATAAATAAACTTAATATGGCTTGGTACCTACCAGTCCAGTGATAAAAACTCGGCTGAATCGTTTAGGTCGCGGGCGAGAGCCTGCGGAGCTTCACCCGCCGCGCCTCCAAGACTTTAATGATGACTTTTTGTTGCAATGCGGTATATGTTTTAAGAGACTAGCGTTTAATTTAAAAAATGAAAATCAGCAAAACGTACCTTCAAAATGTATTTTATTTTAATAGGATAGGGTGGTAAGTGGTTGCTGCGGCCCATAGACATCTACATCTATCCTCGATTATAAATCAAAATGCAGATGCGTTGTCACCCGTGAGGACTAAGATAGATTGCCTCGTTTCCAGTAAAAAGGGGTCTCCGGATCTCTACATTCACCATACGAAACACAGCTGCATTAAGCTACTATTTCACACTGGTATTCTGTGAGAGCGTGGGCCTTCCCCGGTCGAGCCGACCCATTCGTGCTACAATTATACTACTAATATAACTGCAGATCGTGAATAATTTTCTAATTGAAAAATTACTTATTGTTAATATTGTTGCTTGTTATTAATATCGTCGCAAATCTTAAACATAGTTATTAGTCCTACAGAATTGTCATAAACAAACCTAACCAACATGTTTTCACCAAATCACAAACTCAGTACTATGAAATATTTAATGTCGATTTTTTCTGAATACTGTGGGCGTTAACTTTAAATTCGGCTTAAAACAGTTCATCTTTGTATTTTCCATATTTATTTTGTTGTTTTAGTATTCTTGCTCGCTACCGCTTTAAACTTTTAGCGTCTTTGTAAGGCGACAGCCTGCGCCTTGCTCCCCTCCTCCACCGCCCACCCCCGTACCGGCGCAGTCTTATTTTATTGCCTCGCACTCGTTGCGGTGAGCCCTCGAGATGAGCTTACCATCGCTTGCCTTCTCGCCCCCAATCATTATTTAATGTAATTATTGGACCAGTAAACAGTTTTTTTGGGAATCATAAGTCATGTACGCTTTTTATATGGCGGCTTCCACTTTGGTAAATTCTTGGCATATTTCAAATACTTCATATAAAGTTTATGTTTTGACTTTTCACTGATCGATTGACTGAAGTCATTCTTCTTCCAATGAGAAAAAAATACAAAAATCATAGTTGAGTATTACTATGCATTTATTTTTAGTAGTAACGATATAATAAAATACTTAATATATGTGTAAAGTATTTTTAAATTGAATAATATAACAAGTTAATATTAATAATGCCAAAAATTGCTGATTATGGGGTCAATAAACTCGTAAAAGCAAGAAGCGTCAAAGCTCTTAGCA